ATATTCATAGTTTTTGTGCTATTTATAGGTATATTTAAAAATAAGAATTGAACCATTTATATAGGCCACTCATGTAATATAAACAAAGTTTGACAATAAAATCGTATAGTCTTTATAATTTTGTAGTTGATGGTATTAAAAATAATAAAGTAGTAGTAACAATAAACTCATATTTTCGATTTATAAATAAATTAATTTAAAACAAAAATGTAAATTTTTGTACTATACTATGATGTACATCTAGAATTTTGGATATTCTACTTCTAAGAAGAAAAACTAAGATATAGTAAAAATATATTTAAAGCAAAAACTAAGTCTTTTAAAAAAAGTCAATTAAATTAAATAAATAATTATTATAACTGAACATTTAATATCTATTTACAATATACCTACTTACTACTTAGGTATTATATTTTTTTTATTAACGATTTTAAAATTTTTTTTTTAACATTTTCCTTTAACATTATATTTGATTTAATAGTTAATACATATGATATACTTAATTTTAATATTTTATATAAATACTGTATTTATAAATATATAATATTATAATAGAATGAATTACTTTTAAATTTTAATAATAATAATACATCAGTCAGTTATTTAACTGTAGTTGTTGCCTCGATTTTTCCACACAAAATCTTTTTTCTGTAAAATCTCGTAATAAGCTAATTACCTACACAATTTTAGTCTCTTTTAGGTATTATAAAATACTTAAAATTATATTTGTCTCAAGTTGTTGTTCATTTGTTTGTATTAAACCAAGCAAACCTCTTAAAAAGATGATTGTATGACGTTTAGATTTTAGTCTAGGTCCCCCAAAGGTTTCCAAACTGTGGGTAGCGATTACATTTTTAGTGAGTCGCATTATATTTTTAAATAATACATTTTTTTTAAACGCATGTTTTTATAAATCCGTGTTTTTATTATTTTTCGTTTATATTAAAATTCAGTTTTATCACAAATCGTTATCTGCGAGTGTGACGATTACGAGTTTACTGCGACCTTGTCAACACAACGCAACTAGATTAATATAGTTATTGAAAAGATAGTGATTTATTTAAAATAAATTAGTACCTGCTTGACATTTAAAACTATAGATTATTTTCAGTTATTTACGGTATATCGGATACAATACATACACTCAGTTTTAACAGTACTTTTTTCTTAAATAACTAATAAATTCGTTTATTTTGTACTTTTATACAATTACTATAAGCAAATAGTAAAATAAAAAAGTCAATGACTCAAAATTCTGCGGAAACTGAAGAAATAGAGACATTATTTGTGTCAACAGTTAAAAAAGAAAATTTATGATGAGCCTTCAAAAAATAATATTTTTAATTTTACTGCAATTATCCAAAAAGCTACGTACTGCCTCATATAATAAGTGTACAAATATTGATGAAAAAATTCATTGATAAAAATTTAAAAATAAAATTCACTGTTCTTTAGTTCATATCTTTTTTATTTTTTTGTCGTAAACATTGTTGAATCCAGGTATACTGCAAGGGAAGTATTCATCCCCCCTGATATTTCTTTCGAGCTCCCTGAAAAATACAACTTTCATCAAAGTGTATCCATTTATTAAATGCACAATACTCAATACAATTACCGCATCGCATATAATGTCTATATTGTAAATTGTAATAACTAATAATAGGTTTAATTCATAATACTAAAATGTATCACCAATGAAAATAAAGTGAGCCCTCCCCAGAGAAATTGTCTGGATTTAACACTGGTCGTAAATAACTAATCCACGAAACAGCAAAAAAAAAAAAAAGAAAAGAAAAGGTAATTGATATTATTGTGGGTTAAGTCAACATTTAAAAAATTTTCAAAATCTAAGTAATAGGTGTAAGTAATAGTCTAGATAAAAAAAACTTCGATAGATTGCGTAAACCGAGAACTCCGGGAGTTGAGAGTACCAGGGGCGCATGGACTAGTCGCTATTCATTCTCAGTTTATGTGTTGTGCGGTTGTAAGTGCCACGGTTGTGCCAGAGCGGCAGTGGCTGTGGCAATAGACAGCGGTAGCTGGATGGGTACAGCTATAACAACTACTTCATGCGTTCCTGTTACATATTCTATTATACTTATTTGGAATATCTATATTTTTCTCAATAATAATTCACCAAATAAATAGTTAGAATAGTTTCCAGTGTTTCTAAATTGCGAAAACGCGAGCTAAACGCTAAACTTAGCCGTTTTGTGGCTGACTTAGCAATTTTATTAATTATTATTAATTTTAATTTTCACTTAAAACCAGATCCTAGCCAAAAACCAATCAATTTTCGTTCTACATTCTAAGTGGAGGATGAATTGATTTCATAATGATGTATTTTTGTGTGTGTATGTGTGCAAGTGCAAGATAAGTATAGTCAATAAAATGCTTCGATTTAAACTTAAAGGGGGTATGGAATAGGAAATTAGTTCTAGTTTTTAATTATTGTCAATACATATTTTTATTAGGATCAAAGTTGTAATTTTGATAAAATAAGTTAAAATCTCGAAAATTTACAATTATTTTAAAGTTAAATATTCATAATTTTTTTTTTTTGTATCTAAGCTTTTACATTTTTAAAATGTATTCTATACCTATAATAAAAATAAAAATTTAACCAGAAAGTCACGTTAAATTTTTACGATTGTCTGAAATTAAAATTTGTACGAAATTAGATACTCACCTGTACATAAATTATTTTTCTTCGAATAATTAGTTGTTGTTTAAAAACGAATAAACGTAAATACTTGAAATTTTCACCGAACGTGATAATATAAACTATCATTTTTTATGCGAGGTATAATTTACGAAATATTTTGATTCTTTTTAAGTTATTCATTTATAGGTATGAGAAATATTCGATATTTTTTTTAGTTTTTTTGCTATACATGGCGATAAAGAGTTTACTGCTGTGATAAAATTATTGAAAATTTAATTCACGATCACAAATAAGTTGTTTTTTATCTGGACAAATATTATAAAAGTACACAGAAAACATTTTTTTTTGAATTTTAAATTTATACGAAATTGTTTCAATCAATAAAATGTAAAAGCTATAAGTAGTAGAATATTTATAAAAACTTCATTATAGATATGATTAGAAAATGTAATACAATATACAACCAAAATTATTTTTGTTGATATTTGAAGTTCAAATTTTGACGTAATTATACATATTTAATGATGCATAACGATATTATTTATTTTGTTTTAACTAAAAAATCTCGTTTATTAGGACTTAACGAATTTCCACGCATGAATATATTTATTATATACATATAATATATATATTATGCAATGATATTTTCAAAACATAAAGATTCATTTTAAGATAGTATCTATTTATAATACGAACCTATTCACAATGTTTTACGGTATTTACAGTAAAGTATTATTAACTCAAAAATTAATAACAATAATATCTTATGCCATATGATATAAATATAATATATTAGTATACTAATTAAATTCTAATAATATAATAAATGCAATGGTTTTGGTAAAAATTAAATCAACCTATCGGCTACCGTAATATTAATATTAAAATAAATGGCTTTAATAACTTAATCAAAAAACTTATCATGAAACAAACTTAGTAATTTATGTTAATAGATTGTTTCTGCTCAGAATCGTTTTTTATATACAATGATATATCATTGAATTAAAATTTAATGCATCTATTATAGCAACCCACTTGACATCTAATTTACAACAGAGTACTGTCCACATGACCACATGCCCGCCTTTTTATAGATAAAAGGATTAAAAAAATTTTACATAAATACATACATTTTGGATGAAGACCATATTTTTATACATTTCATACAATTTCAAGAATATATTATATGGTGCATATGTTAAATTTTTTTGTTTTTAAATGATTTAATTGAATTATAAAATTTCATATTTAATACTGTAGTCAACAGTTAATTTTTTTTGGTTATAGCCTATAGGTATATTATTATAATTAATTAATATTAAGTATTTTATTCCGATAAGGTAATAAATGTTGTTAGTAACCCAACTGCGGGGGGACAGTATACGAAATTGAAATTGAAATAATTTCTTAAGAATTTAACACAGAACAGTCAAGTTGTTTGAATAAAAAATTTGTTGATATTTTTTAAATTTTATACAATAAAACTTTTATTTATTATAATTTTGAAGAGTGGATATGACGGCAGGTACTATTCTTTCCTATTGTTAAGTAAATAAATAAAAAATAGTTGTAAAAAACTTATTAAATATAAATAAATTTAAAATTCAAATGACAGCTAATGAGTAATTAACTTAAATTTTAAAATGTTACTATTTGATGTATTTAAATACAGTTAAAGCACTAAAAAATAATTTTTTTTAGTGTTTTAACTTTCGGGATCTTCTAAACTATTTTCTTTCAAATTTTCATTCCTCAAGTCAAGTTAGATGATAAAATTTTAAACTAAAAAAATTTATACTAAAAAATAATTTGCAGATGTTATCAATTTTATGAGTTTTGTAATAATTTAAACTTTAAATGCTTAAAAAAAAATTAAACTAATTATTTTTCAACATTTTTAATTTGATGTATGAAAAATACGAGTTTACCGGTTTTTCATATATGTATAACATTTTCAAAGATCTTTACTCTTTTGTCAAACAAATATAAATAGTACTGCAGTTTGAAGGGATTAAATGCGATTCTTTTTTCTCACATTTCTTATCTTCAACCATTGTGATACACCATATACGCCATAATAGCACTATACTGAGATGACCTTAAAACTGTTAATATATCAATCAGCCCGTAATGTTTACAATTTTTAAATACTACGATCATTTATAAAACATTTACTATGAATGTAATGACGTAAGTATATGTGCAATTAAGTATACACTTATTAATATAATTGAGACAAAAACAATCTAGAATTCATGACAATGATTGTAAATAAATAAACTGTTGGCTTCCATAGGAAAATATAATATTAACCGTCAGTCTTCATTGGGCCCTGTTACAAATCTTTCGAGTATTCTTCTAATATTACCTCTTCACCTTCACCAAAGTCATATTCTTCGCCCATATTCTCATTCTGAATCTTTTGTTGGTCTAACCACAACTTTATTTCACCTTCCATCTCATCAAAGTTGTATGGGAAAAACTTAATGGCATCGTCAATGCCCACTTCCTGATTCGGGCTCACATATATTGGCCCTACGTCAACGAACCGCAACAGGCTTTTGTCCTTGTCGTCCATAAGCACAGACAACACTAATTTGGCGTCTCTGCTGTATATAAAAAATATAATGTATGTACTTATTATACTGTATAATTGAACAGTTATAAATATTTTATATACATATTATGTTTTGTACATAATACAGGCTAGTACAAAAAATGCCTGTAGTAATTTGATAATATTTAACATTGGATCAAAACTGCTGTCGACTTTAAATTTTCATGAGCCTTTGTTGAAAAAAAAATTTATAATTTTAAAAATAATTCATTCGTAAATTTCAAAGGAAGATATTACAAACAATATTATTTTCAGTTATAATGCATCTTTTTTATGTAAAAGATAATACAATAAATTTCATAATATATTTTTAGTAGTTCGTAATTTTTCAATTTTAACGGCTATCTATATACCGACATGGATGTTTGATATGAGCGAAAAAAGTAGAATACTTTACAATGTATTATAATTAACTTCACTTTACTTTAGTACTATTTTTAAGTATAATAATAAATAATTCCATTAGTACAATAAGACTTAATTGAGATTTAAGTGAAAAAATTACATCATACATGTTAATTATTAAACGAAAAAGGGAAAATTGTTACATAGTTTTATTAACTATAAGCCTTTGTAGCTATTATTTTTAGTTAAGCTTAACATTTTTGCAGGATTAATTTAAAATATTATAGGTTTGCTGGTTTGCATTGTTCTAGTATTAATTGATAAGTTTAACAGAATTATATATTTTATATAATAATGTAAGGTACTTACCCAACCTTATCCATACCATATGTAGTCAATAATTCGGGGTCTTTACATAGTAGTTTGGGATTTTCGGGATCAGCGCTACGAAAAAACCCGTAATACACAACCGTTTCTTCTAAATCCTCGATTATTGGTAACACAGTGTTAGATTTGTTGATATCAAAAATGACAAGATACTGCAAAAACAAATGAAAAAAATAAATACTTTGAAATATGTGAATAAGTGAGATTTTGGACGAAATTTGGCTTGGGAATGCGCCTCAACAACTAGCACAACAACAAAGTTTTAAATTAACATTATTGACATCTATATAATGTAGCGTAATATAGGAAATAAAAAAAAGTTCTAACACGCGTAATAAAACTATTTGTATAACCTGTGGAGAAGGTGGATGGGGTGCGACGTATCCATTGTTTTGGCAGAATTTATGGAACAAAATGGTAAGCGCCGAAGCTTTACTCAATGGATTTCTGGGGGTGTATACCGACGGTATTTTTTGTCCGTTTTCATTCATTACCGAATGTATATCTGCAAGTCTATGATAATAATAATAATAATATTTTTCATAATATAAATAATTAGTAACAGATTTATTGGTATCTATAATAGTTATAGTTTTACAAATTTATAAATTGCCAATAATAATATATTATTATTATCATTATTATAAATAATAACAAATATAATGTAATAATAAAAAATAATAATTTAAAATTTAATTGTTTTTAAGTTTTATTTAAATTGCTACAGATTTTTTTTAAATGAGTAGTATCAATATCTAAGCTATTTCTCATGGGCATTGAAATATTAACGGAAATAATTAATTATTGTTTTTTATTTTGCATAAAATATATTATACTTAAATAGTAATAATAATAAATAATATTTATTATAAATTTATAAGTGTGTGTATTCATTAAAATATTGCTTATAGGACACACTGGGTTTTATATTTTTTAACAAATGTACCAAACATTTTGTTTGTAATAGTAAATGACTATTTTTTATCCAACAATCAATTAATTTTTTCAAATTTATGTTCAAAATGTATAAATCTCAAAAATTAAATTATTTAAATTTATATAAGAAGGGGTTATAATTTATTAAAATTGATCTAAAACAATTCCAGATACATTTTAAACAAAAAATATTTATGGTTATTTAGAAATACAATTTACAGTTTTTATTGAAAATAGTTGTAGCTTTTTTTCTAAATTTAAAATTCAATTTGTACTAATGTATATTGTGTATAATAATATATTATCGATTATCGGCAATGATTTTAATTAGGAACTATTAAAAACGAGTAGGCAATAATAAAATGTACTATTTGTGTATATAAATTCTGAATTGTTATAATTAGGGGTAGGATTTATATGTATTTATGAAACCAAAATATATATTTATGCTATCAAAATATGTATATAAATATGTACTAAAACACTCAAAATATGTATTTAACTAATATGATTTATTTATTAATATTTAATTATTTAATATATTCATATGAGTTACTAATGAAACAAATTATATTTTAAATAGTAAAATTATCAAGAAAATGAAAAAAAATATAAATGAAAAAAACTAAAAAAAAAAATGAAAAAAAATTAATTATCTTGATTATATATATCACACGCATTTTTAAATTTTCAAATTCATAAGACCTTCGATTTGGTCGTAAAACTGCTTTATAACAACTAAATAACCATTCGACTTCTACTAATGTTATTGGACAGTATTGCATTTTGACTATGTCTGAAAAAGTAAGTTCTACACTCAATGAAAATTCAGGAGAACGTCCATTGCAGAGAATACTTTGATAGCTATTAATAAATCATAAATGAACAAATTGTCGAAATATGTAGGAAAAAATAGAATTATTGAGAAATATGTAAAAACATGTAAAATAAAATATAGTTCATTTTATTGGAAATCCCTTAAAACGAATTTATCACTTATCTAAATTTATTTATCAAGTCACAGTAAAAATATGTATTTACATATAAATCCGACCTCTAGTTATAATTTTCTAGTTATTTTTAGTATAGTGTTTAATATTAATATGAGGAATGGTAGGTTTTATTTTAAACTGTTTTGATGTTTGATAGATAATATTAAATGATATATAGGTATAATAACTAATTTTTTACAATTATAAATTAATTTATAGTTGTATTCAAATTTATCTTCACAAAAGTAACAAACGACTATGAAATTTTGAGTTAAATATTTTATTGGCTTTAAATCTAATGTTACAAGGACACTTTTTTATTTCCCGTGATCCAGTAACATTATAAAACCAAACCTTTAAGGCTATAATCGTTGCTTTTGTAAAGATTTATATATAGGCACTTATATAATACTGTTACTTAACCTATTTTATCATATGTGTAAATATAGACACGAGATGATACAAACGAGTCCTTACTCTATGTAATCGAAAATTATATTAGTTTAAAATTTGTATTGAAATGTGAATCGTTCATAAACTTTACTATACAACATTATTCACGATAGTGTAAACAATATATTTATAAAATTCCTAGGTAATATTTATAATTACTTATAACAATTTCTAATTAACTTTATGGTAATAATCTAATAAACGATAATTATAGTCATTGGCTAACAAATCAAAGCATTTTAAACGTTCTCTAGGAAAATAGAAATGTAGATATTTTTTACATTATCATTATTGCCAGTAACATAATAAATACATAAATGATGGATATTATAATTTAATATAAAAGCTAATTAAAAAAAAAAAAATAAATAAATAAATAAATAAATAATTTAATATATTACTTATTATACTAATTAATAGTTCTAAAATTATACCTTACTAGTTTAACTTGTAATACAACAATATTACAAAATGACCAATATATCCATTGTCTATCATAAATTTAGGACTTAGGTGTTTATATTATTTAAAATTATAAAATAAACTAAATATTAGGTTCCTATAAGTAGATAGTATGTAAACATTGATATGTTAAATAATTTTATAATACATATTTATACTAATACCGAGTCGCATACAAACCATTAAATGGGATACTAAATTATATTTAAGGAATCATTAGATCATTATTGATTCATCATATGTTTAGTGATTGTACATCCAAGATTAAACCCACCAAAAAAAATTATTAAATGCAACATATTATTTAGTAAAATAATATTCTTATACTATATATATATATAGTTTAAGATTCGATTCTGGTCGCTATTCAGATGTGGATCACTATTGAGTGTTTGAGCTTTTAGTGGGTCGCTTACGATTTTAAAACACTTTACTTTTTTTAATTGCAATTTTTAAATTCACTATGTCTCGAATTGACCGACGCTATGGATATTGATGCGTAGTGATTAAGAAAAACAGAAAATAAGTAGATAAACACTTCACATTCGATTAATAAATATATTAAATAATAATGATGTTTTAAAAAAAAAATTAATTCTTTTTATAATATTATTATTAAATACCTAAATATAGTTAAAAGCAATATTACTATAAATGCAACTTTTATATGAATATATTAAAACTTAATATACAATTTGTGAACAAAAAGAAAGTATGCGGTGGTCGGTCGCTAAAATTTTTAAATTTTCCAATATGAGTTGTGTGAATATTTTGGGAACTTCTGCCATTAATTAGTGTTTATGAAATATTATATAAATTGTAAAACTATGTTTACTTAAAATATATATAAATAAGCTGGTTTTTTTTTTCATATTTTCATATTGTTCATTAGAGTTATCGACATTTTTTTTTTAGTTCAAAAAATTAAATTAAATTAAATGTTTATAATTTTATTTATGTAATTTTAGTCCTGCATAAATTCTATGTTAATGTGTTTATATCGCCACAAATACGTGGTAGATATACATACTTAGTTAGAAACTTACGAATCTAGACCAGGGTTTAATGGGCTTCCATCTCCGTAAATTATCTTGCTCAACTTCACCTCTATTTCTCCCATTAAGTCGATGGAAATAGGTTTATTTTCGTCATCTGTGGCTGCTTCTTCGGTAGCGGTATCGTGTTTAACAGTAGGCATTGACAACATTACAGAATACACATTTTTATTCAATAATTCATCAATTAATTCTTGTGGAAAACTTTCCAAAAACTCCTTTTCCATAAAAAACAGCTAAAATGAAAGAATGTAGTATGATTTATGTATAATTTCCAAATTTTCAATCGATTTATCCAGATAAGTACCTAATTATGTATGAACATTATTACAACCATTATTCTGTAAATTGTAAATCCATACAACATGTTTATATTACTCCCTATACTTTATTTCTTTTTAATTATAACGTGGATATCAGTTTATTCGAAACTTTAAATAAGATAATTGAATACTATGCTAATAATGGATTTTTTTAAGAAAACTTTTGACATTCGTAAATTTTTAATAATTTTTTTTTTAAAACCTTATAACTTTGTTATTAACAATAATGAATACAATTATAAGTTATTTTCAACTAAATATGAGTCATAATCCAATAACATGTTGTTCATCTTAGATTATCCGATAGCTTAAGGATTATATTGACTACTAAAATATCAATTATAGATATTGAAAATTGTCGAATGTTTTATATTTCCGATTCAATTTATCACTCTCCTGCTCGGGAGTGACAAATTGATTTCTAAAAGTGTTAATAAAAAATAATAGATTTACCAACCACATGTACTAACTTAACTTGGTTTACAATATTAAATTACGGAATATTTTCAAAATATATTTTATAATGTACAATTAACAAGCACAAACTATTGTAGAATTTAAAATTTGCATTAATCAAGTACATATTAATGTAAATTATCTATACGAGTTATTGAGTCCAAACCACCCGGTTGTATTAGGTAAAACATTTAGGATAAAAAACGTTTAGAAGAATATCATTTACATTTTAATTACTATTTGATTAAAATATTTAATGAATTGAGTAATATTTTCGATGATAATTTTATCAGATTTTTTTTGTTTCTAGTTTATCTTAGGATGTTTATTCTTTTGATTATATATAACTTTAACGTTATTGATTATTTTTACCGACTTCTATCCTGACCAATTATATTCAAAATATGTTTATAATTACCTCGTTTAAATTGTCTTCTGTCAATCTCACTTCTTTTGCTTCAATAACGATAAGTTCCTCATACTTACTAGCACACGAGTTGGCCACTTCACATACCCTTTTTTTTATCATCACAGGTTCAGATGTGTTATTGAGTTCTTCGGCGCTATCTTCCGGTGGTTTTTCCACCATAATATATTTAACTGTGTGAGGGAAAAACATGACACATGTTTGCTTTTGAATGTTATACGCGAATTGTTTCAGAGAACGTTCTCTCACTTTCATCATTCTTTTATCTGAAACCATTAAGTACGAATTTATAAGTTGTGTAAAATTACTTAACCTATTTATATCATTTCACGATGTAAGACGAAATTTATCATACTTTATATTAAGTTTACAGCTAACGAATCTAAATATATTAAATAACACTTAAGCCTATATTAAACAATAAACTATACACGAATAAATATTATTTAGTTTATTATGATGACTGCAGACAAAAAGTAGGTCTATATTATTATATTTAACTTAATTACTGAATGTAATTGCTAGAAAGAATTTTGAGAAACATTAACTATGCTTAAATTCAAACAAAAAATAAATTGTATATGTATCCATTATCCGTGTAATTATCCGAAAGTCAAAACAAAAATCAGACTAACCTCTTAGTTTTTTTTCTTTTCTTGTTTTTTGTTTTTGATAATTTTCAATTTCGATTAATTTTTTTCGTTCTTCATCTGTCACTTTACTCATTGGTATCTTAATTTATAACAATTTAATATTTAGATATTATTCAACGCTTATGATGATATCCATGCACAAAAACACAACTTAAATATTATTTGAATCCATATTAAATACTCACAAACTCTTTTTGAATCTCTCCATTTTTGTATTTAATATATTGTTCCAACTCCTCCACTATTAATTTCGTTAATCTGGGAGCATCAGTACCAATTACGACATTAACCAATTTTCCATCCTTTTTTAAAATTAACGAAAAATAAATATTTATAGTTAAAGTTAGTATATTTATAATACAATATATTTTATTTACTATTAATAATCAATATATGTACTTACAAAAAAAAACAACCAATGGGGTTCACTTTTTTGTCGAAATCTTTTTAGTACATTAATATTGTCCGATTTTGCCTAGAATTGTATTAACGCAATTAAACAACGTTTTAATTTATTAAAAATCTTTCTAAAATTTATAAAATACTCGTATTATAAAATATTACTCAAAACAAATTTATAAATATTATGTTTGACAAATAATAAAAAATATAGGCAATTGAGTACCGTTCTACTGTATACTAATAATGTCGATTGAGTCACTATCAATACATGTGTTAAATTTGAACTTCATGATACAATATCATTGTATAAGAAAAACAATTATTAGATAAAATGGTCTGTTAACCTATATCACTAAGTATATTTCATGATATTACTATTGAAGTAATTTATTTTATTATTAGTAATACGGTAGGTTATTCTAATTTTTTCCGAAATTTTTATATTAATTATGTTAGTAGTATTTTATTATTATAATAATACATATTTTTGTTGTTTTATATTATTGATATTAACTTTTAAATCAATACTACCTAGTCATAAAACAGTGTGAATAGGTTGATGTTATACTTCTTATACTATAGATAAATTATTTATTGATTATTTTAATTTTATCTATAAAAATTTACGTAGTATGAACATTTTATTTCGTTTTGTAAAATTTATAATGTATGTAAAAATTATTAGCTTAATAATGCTTTTATATAGTTCAAATATGCAATTTCGTTAAAATTTGAACCTCAAATTTTTATAAAAAGACATTTAAAAAATTTAAAAGTTTTCCTTTTTCCTAATTTTTTTTCTGATTATTTTTAAAAATCCCTCCCCCCCACAAAAAAATTACCAAAAACCTCCCTAAGTAAAAATTCGAAGTAATTGTATTTTCCCAAAAGGTGATGATAGAAAAAAATATGCATTATTGTAAAATCAATCCATTCATTGCTATGAAGTTTAAAACTATATGATTAATATACAGAATAAAAAAAAAAAAAATAAGTAAAACGTAATTTTCTTTTTAACGTAATTATTAATTAGTATGATATAGAAATGTTAACATATTTTTTACATAATATATAATATTACGCCGTGTTTAGTAAAATTATAAAAACATTATAATGAAACCCATATAAAAACCACATTTTTAGAATGCTCTACAAAGCAGTTTGTCTGATTAGATTAATGATTTGATTAATTTAATCACACTATAAATTTTAGTTTAAATTAAATTTATAGTGGTATACGTAGTATCGCGATTCGTGGTACAATATGATGAAATTGTAAATTACTGTTTTTGAATTACTTATTAATTTTTATAGAAATAAAATTGATTAGAGTTAGAAGAAAATATTTATTTTTATGAATACATTTTTTTCCTGATTTTTTTTTTAATTACTGAGAAATCTATACTGTTGATCTATCCAAACTAAAAATCAGGTCCAATTTGTTCCCAGAAACTTCCTTAAAAATTGATTATCAGATATTGCATTTATAAAATTGTAATATATTTTATATTTTGTATCTAATTTACTAATTGTACATATTGTCAATAAACTTTATATTTTAATACAGGTAAACAAATATTTTATTTCTCAATACAACTTAAAAGTTTAAAACTTTATGAAGTTATTTAAACATTTTTTAATCTAATACACATTTATTATGCATACTTAAATCTTGATAGAAACAATATAACCATTAAACAATTGCTTATTACTTAATATTTACTTTACCTTCAATTGATGTTAACGAATATCAACGAATATAACATTTTTATAATAGCATAATATTTAGAATCAAAACTTTTAACGCCTAACTTATTGAATTATATAGAAATTATCGTTTTATTTCATTTCAATTATCTTTCGACTTTGATATAGGTATATCTGAATCGTTTTAATAGTTAATACAAAATTAAATATCACAATAGGCAATATTTACTATGGCGTAATTTAGATTTTCATTTCCTAATTCCATTTTGATTTTTTTTAAGTAATTTGTCATTGTTACACAAGGGCCGCACCATTCTGCATAAACGTCAATAACTATAATAATAAAAAATTAATAATGAATTACTAATAAACAAAAACAATTTTATTATTCTTAAACAACTGTGAATTTTTTACTATACATTCCCGGATTTTCCATAATTCTTGTCCAATCATCATTGTTATTGATTTCTTCTTGAAGTACTGCTGGACCTCTTTTAGCCATTCGTTCGGATCTCTTATTCTGATTACTTTTTACATTACATTTCAGTATTTCAAAATATATTAGGTTAAAAGTTAAAACATAAATTAATTTTACAATTTTTCAATTAAAATAATAATAACACATTTTGCTTTGAATATTTTCTAGTTTTTATACACTAATATACATTTTTAATTTATCTAGTAGTATGTAAGGTTTTATTGAGTACGGATTTACCTATTTTATTTATTTATTGAAGCGTATTTACATTTTTGTGTACACTTTTCATTATCATTTTGGTATTTAAAATAAACATTTAAATGTTTCACTGATATAATATATATATATAAAAGTTTTATGTTAATAGATGTTACAAAATCAATAGATAATTTAATTGATATTTAATTATTTTATCCTTTAATCATGATTGTTATACTCATATAATACGTCTATTAAGAATAAATAATAATAATATCATAATTTCATATAAGTATTACTTTTAATCATAGGAGGAAAGGAGTCCTAAAAGTATTATCTTTCATAGGCAAAAACGTTAAATTTATGAAATTTTTCAAACAAAAAATTTAGAAAATTTATACACACAAAACTTTTTATGTGTGTTTAAAATTAGAATTTTTGCTAAATTCATAAAATTTGCAAAAATTATCTAATTATTTTGTAGTTAAAAATTAGTGAACATTTTTATTTTTAAATAAAATATTTGAAAATTTAATACAAGGTTGATTTTTATTAGTTTTTTTTTTTATTACCGTCGACAAAAAATTATTCGATTGGTAAAAATTTCAAAAATTTAATACAAGATCCACATATGTTGTTATAATATCTGTACATAAATATAGAAATTACATGAGCACAACTTTTTTTATATGCTTTTGAAGATAGAATTTTGACGAAATTCGTCATTTAATGTTTGTTTGGGAAAAATGACTTATTTAAATATAAATAATTATGTTAATTATTTTGTTACAACTTAAAATTTAAAAACATTATTTATGGAAACTTGAAACTTTTATATATATCACATTATTATAAATTTTACTATGTGCAATGAAATAATTTATTTATTTTAAGATTATCTACTTACACTATGAATATTTTTTTATTGTTTTACAATATTTACTGAAAAAAATTATTAAATTTTATGTTGTATAAGTCAATATAATATGGTATACAGTAAAACCTCTAAATACCAGACACTCTCGGTCGCCTTAATTTTGTCCCTTATTTAGAGGTGTCCACTATTCAGAGGGGGAAAATAACTTGCAGAAATTAATAACTATGTACAACATTATTTATATGTATATGAAATATGTATAATAAAGATATATGCATATTATTTTTATTATTTTAATACAAATATTTATTATACATTTTATGTATTATTTAAAGTTATGATATTATTATCTATGCAAAAATTAACATTTATTGAAAAAATTAGTTACTTTAGCTTGCTTAAGACCTTGATGCATAGTCATTTCATGTATCAAGGCATTTTCTAATTCGACTACGTTGGAGAACAATGAAGTGTTTTGTATATCGATAGAAGAACATAAACTGTTGAAAAATCGTATGAAAAATGTTTTTATCGACGCGATAACGGACGGATTAGATAAATTATAATTGTACATAGTATAATATAATGAATAGCAGTCAGATTATATAAGATAGTTAGATAGATATTTATTGAGGCATTCCACAATTATTCAACATTTACGATAAAAACCGTCAAAATCAAAAATGAAATTGTCATAAAAGAGTCCGTTATTTAGAGTGTCCGGTATTTAGAGGTTTCCTATACAAAAGTGGTGCAAATGTCCCCGTTCCCATAAAAACGTTCGCTATTTGGAGGTGTCCGTTAAGGGTGGTTTCACTGTACATATATTTTAATATAATAACTAAATATTAATAACATAATTAATAAAATATTTTCGGAAAAATGATTTTAATAGTTATATCATGAAAAAAAAAAAACATATCACAAAATATACTTTGTAAACATACTTTGTCACCACTCAGAATCGTTTTTCGTACACAATAACATATTATTGTATTCAAATTTAAGACACTCCATAATAGTGACCCACTCAACACTTAATGTACATCAGAGTGGTATTCACTTGCATACATTATTTTTTATTGAAATTTATGACAAGAAAAGTTTAAAAAAAAATTTTCATGCCTATAAATAACTCAAAACTTTTCAAGATACTTTCAAAGTTTTCTATGTATAGAAAATAATCATAAAAAAATTTAGAGAAAATTACAATCATAAATATAATTTCTACTTTTATACTTATTTTTTAATTACTGTAAAAAACAAAAATCGTTTAAAAATAAATTTAAGTATTACTATGTATATTGTATATAAGTTCAAATCAAAGAACAACTTATATGGGATTTTGTATTAAGTTTTCGAAATTTTTACCGGCAAATATTTTTTTTATTGACAATTTAAAAAAAAAAATAGTTAAAAATATTTTAGGTAAAGATTTCAAATTTCATATTAAATTTTCAAATCTTAAGTAGAAAATATTCCCGTTTTTCCTTAATTTCTTTTTTTGTTTTTCCGATTATAAAAAAATTACTGGGAAATTTCACTTTTGACCTCTTTAAAGTTCAAATAAGATCCAATTTTGTATCCAAAAACACACTCAAATTTAAAAATTGAACCAATTTTTTGACTACTTATTGTGTATAAAAACCCAAAAAAACACACATAGAAAAATCAATACATTCATCGCTCCGCTTTAAATTTAATAATTAATAATTATCTATAATTTGAGTAATACACTGATTCCTATAAAAAAAGTATCGTAAGATACCTATGCAATAAATACCTTATTAAAATATATGTTCTTCCTTTACTCACCAAAAAAAAAAAAAAATTTAAAATACCAACTTTTCAGGATTTTTGTTGAATGTTGAAACGATTTTATAACAACAGATACAACTAAATAAACAAATATTAAATTTTAGTTTAATGATTTGCATCAGACTGACTAATAATTGCATTGAGATAAATGATAATGATACTTAATCATTTTTATTATAATAATCTTAGTTAAACAAAAATGAGTTAAAACGATTATTCTATATTATTATTTAATATCATTATATAAGTAAATTATCTTATCGCGATGTACAGTATAATTCATGTAATAAATCACTTAAAAAGTAATATAAATATTAAATAAACTTTATTGTGCATTAAAATAATAATGGTAATCATAGATGTAGTGGTGTAAGGTTTCATGTTTCTACGAAATTATTTTTATTAAATTACAAAAAAAATAAAATCATATTTTTTAGTTTTTTAGATTACTTTAAGAAATACTTATGAGGAACCTTACATTAAATTTTCAAATCAGATTTTTAAATTTAAAATTTTATAAATTTTTTTTCTAAAAAATAATTTGAATATTTTTGTGATTTTGATGAATTTCATAAATATTTTAACTTTAAATGCTTGCATAAAAAAATGGTGATTATTTATTTCGATAATTTATAAATATGGAAAACTTGTATGAGACCTTATGTGTTGAATTTTCAAGAATTTTAACTTAAAAACAAAAATTTTATCATACTTAAATTAAATAAAAACTAAAATATTTTAAATATTTTTTAAACTATATTAGTTTAAAATATAAGTACAAAATAAATTTAAAAATTAAATTACAAACATCATGGTAAAACAAAAATATTCATCACTTTGATCAGGATCTTAAAATAAATGGATATAAGTTAAATAAAAATATGTATAATATTCAACAATTTTTCATTCAAGTTGATACATATGAGTGTAAAAAATCTGAATTCTATATCAAATCAGGTATTTATTTTTTATTCGTCTTTGTTTTATTGTAATTTTATCTTATTTAATTCTTGTAATATGTATATAACATACTAAACGTGTAATATTTAAAGTCACTTCTACAGTTCTACTTAATGTTAAAACAAATAAAAGTAATTTCGTTTGCAAATAATTAGAGAAGTTGGCGAATGGGTAAAAATGATATTTACACTTTGACAGGTTGGTACTAATACAGTACGCGTTATGTAAGGACATATAGTTAAAGGGGCAGATTATTTTCAAAATAAACCTTTTAAAGTATACTGTGATATGCATAAACGGCGATGAATTATAATTATTAATTATACAGATAATAATGCGAAAATGACGCAATTTTCAACTGATGAACAGTGAGCACGTACATACAACACGCGTGCACCACTAATTAGCCAGCAAATAGAATGAATAACACTAGCACAATATACGTACTAATCACTATGACTTTGATTTCTTTGCATTAGTTTATTTTTATTCCCTTAATCAATAAACGTATTTGAAAAAGCTAATTTATAATTTTATTTATCTAATGAAAATTTGTAATTATTTCTTTATTTTGATAAATAAATAATTTACAAGCTGATATACATTATCTTAGGGTAGTGTATTATAGTTATTATCAATATTTAGTACGACCGGTGTTTACCGAGTATAAATTTTACATTTTGTTCGTAACATTTATATTGAAGAATTTTCTAGCGAATTTTCAAAACTAAATGTAAAATACTCAATCATCTTAATCGCAATCAATTTTTATAAAAATAAAAAAACTATAGTTGATAGAATTTAAAATATTATTATTTTTTTTTTTTTGTATATTTTTTCATTTGTTATTATTATTATTACATTTAAATCCTAGCCGTATATTATAGATATTAAGATAATACATATTTATGTTTATAACAAGCCTTTCATTGTAAATATATAATAATAATTCATTAACACTAGACCATTAGCCTTAGACATTTTTTTTTTAGTCATTATTTTTACACTGATTAGCTATTCAACTGTAATAACTTACAAAATATTTTTAAAACACACGCGTACGATATCTCACTTATGTAGTATTAATATCAATTGCCCAATGATAAATCTAAAAATGTATTATAGTAAATGTTGGTAATAGCCCTTAGCAATTCAGGTAAAACGTTAAGAACCACTGTTTTGACGTTATCGTGCCGTTCAGACGCTATTCGGTGTACTGGTGCCATGTAATCTGACGACTGTAGTAATAAGTGTCTATGTTAATAATGAATTATAAATTATGTTTGTTTTTGAACATTTTTCTTGATTGTCCTCGCAATATATTTGGTGTAGGTCTATTTTCCTAGATTAGTTATCCTGTGTTTTGTACACTTGTCGGTCGTTGGTTATTGGTCGTTAACCGAGTGACCTAGACCCCTCAAGCCTCAGTTCAAATATATTTAACATTTACGTCTATGGAGGATAAAATAATAGAAGTACTCGTCGAAATAATTATTTGCTTACTATTATTACGATGGTTAGTTACGAGAACTTCCGGAATGTTATCTCAGGACGTGATACTTGGTATAACATATTTTCCTGTACGAATTTCGTTATTACTACTATGTAGTGCGGTGCACTGTTGTTGGCAATAGATTACAACTCATTACTCTCTTATTATTAAATGATACGTGGTAGAAGGTATAATACAATATAAAAATATTAGGTACAATATTGGGAAGTTATAGCCTACGCCCTACGACCTATAGTATAGTCTACACGTCGCCAAAAACAATACCGGGTGGTTACATTATTATATTATACCTATTTGTTTAGAGATTACTATACATATATGATGATTAATACTTACCATAAATTATTTGAAATAACAGAAACTTATAATTATGACATTAAAAGTTATTCAAACACAGACCACGGTGAACTAGTTTCAGTTTTTTCTTGGATTTTCAGAATACTAAAATAAAAAATATAACGTGTCGATAGTTTAATATTGCCCGAGACGTTTCCTTTGCCTTTTGTTTCCATGGATACGAAGGCGACGATAGTTTGCCGCACGTTTAAATGTGTGAAAAACACCTATATAATACAAAGATACTAATACAGAGTTGTATTTAATGATCAATCACTAAACAAGTAATCAATCAATAATAAGTTTAAACATGATTTAAGCCATCGGTCATGGTTAGTTCATTAATTTTTTACATGCAACTTGGAATAATAATACCAAGCGAATAAAATATTACGGGTAAAGATATAACCGTATAGGAAGTACGTGAATTATATTCTATACACCCAATACATATGCATGTTACGCAAAATTAAATTTAAATTGGTGAAAAAAGGCTTAAAATATATACCTAACCTTATTTCTAATAGTGGAAATGGGAAGAGTGTACTTAGGAGACTAAGTTCATCAAATGTGTTTTTTTTTTTTTTGTTTTATGTAATATATTTTTTTTTTTTTATAGTTGTTGATTAGTCGTCTAGAGTTAATATAGTAAAAATTATACAACTATAAAAACCTTGTGATATTATATAACTAGTGAGACGTATAAAAACATAACTAAAAGCTTCAATAGTTCGAAAACGTTTTAACTACTATGTCTATTCTGAATATTGAAAATATGAAAAAGTATTACAAAT